GACTTGAAAATAAATATATTCCCAATTCAAAGCAGAAAACCCCTTGGAACCATGAACTGCTTCAAAGAAGGTCCCAGAAAATAATACCTAGAACGACTATTCCCATTTAACATTTTAAAATACCGTATGAAAATCGAAGGCAACAGTTTTAAAAATTCAATACCTGCCGTACAGAAATTCAATTTCTTAATGTCAGAGAAAAGTAATTACTGCATAGGAAAGACGAAAGAAAGACAAAATAAATGATACGCACTTGGATTAAAAAAGCATAATCGCTGGCAAAAGCCGGAATCGGATTTGCCAACTGTGAAGTCTCCCCCGCCTTCTCTCCAGCGTAAACACTCCGTGTCAACATCCCGTCATCATCGCACATATACCTTTAAAGATTCAAAATAAATCACTCAAAAATTCAAATTGATTTCCAGCTCGCACACGAAGATATGAATATGATGATATGAATTCACAATGCTGAATTCCCAAGAAAATACGCCAAGAATCCCAAGAAAATACGCGACTAAAACAATCGCATATCGAAAATAAAATTTCTCTCTTCATTTTGATGTTCGATCTTGGAGTTCACAACGCATGTGAAATGTTAGACGTCAAGAAAATTCAAAATTTAACATATACGAATTTTACAAACCTACTCGAACACAGATTCAGCTACAGTGATGTTAACTGAGTACATCAAGCAGAAGAGACGCAGGATTTTTTTTTTTAACAAAGACAGATATCAGTTTTCTCTGTCTTGGTTCATTCTAGATTGCCGGAGATGGACATTTTTAATTTTCATAAAATAATAAATATTGCTACAAGCGGACTCTCTAAAATAAAATTCTGGGGCCCAGATAAAAATGCTTTTTAGAGAGAATTTCGCTGCAGAAAGTCAAACGAATTTCAGGGGACTAGAAAATGCTCCGTCCAGAGAATTTCGTTCTGGGTCATTCGAACTTCGCGTTTTTAATTTTTAAGCAGTAATAAATATTGATACTGTACATGTGGACTCTCCAAAGCAAAATTCAGGGGAGCAGAAACAAATGCTTTGCAGAGAGAATTTCGTTGCAGGAACTCCAACGAATTTCAGGGGACTAGAAAAATGCTTTCGTAGAGATAATTTCGATGCAGAAAGTCCACTTGTATCAATATTTATTGCTGCATAAAATTTTTAAAAACGTCCTTCTCCGCAAATTTCGAATAACCCAAAACCGAAAAAACTGATTCCCCAAACCCCCATATGTTCGTCTCCCTACATTTTCCATGCATCCAAAAATAAAAAAAATAAATTTTCAATAAAAATTGAAGAAAACATAAATCGAGACACGAACTTGCGCATGAAATTGGCGGCCTTGACAGCCCTGTCCACGTAGCCGGCATCCGCCAAAACGGCGCCGGCCCGAGCAAAAGCACTGATCATAAGTCCGTTCCAGCCGGCAATCATTTTATTGTCCAAATGCGGTTTCGGCCGCTGTTGTCGTCGCTCGTACAAGATTTTCTTGCACCGCTCAATCACTTCAGACAGCTCCGGNGCCCGAGCAAAAGCACTGATCATAAGTCCGTTCCAGCCGGCAATCATTTTATTGTCCAAATGCGGTTTCGGCCGCTGTTGTCGTCGCTCGTACAAGATTTTCTTGCACCGCTCAATCACTTCAGACAGCTCCGGCAGGGATAAATCAAACTTGGCCGCAGCCAGCTGTGGAGTCGTCCGCATTATCAACACGTTCTGGTTCCGCAATTCCCCGTGAGGATCCTTCAAATAAACAAACAAAGATAGATACAGAGCGAAAATCGCTGAGAAGTTGAAGAGATTTAGAGATTATTTTCAAAAACTCCTGAAAAAAATAGCTACAGCTTAAAAATTGTAATCTTTCGTTCTCGTTTTCACCAATGCTCTCGAATGAAATTGACTGTGTGAAAACTGCTCTTTCTCGTTATACCGAACAATTGCTAGCAGCAAAGTCGTTTTACAAGTTCCCGTACAATAGTCACAATATTGAATGAGTTACTCCATAAGTAATTTTTCGTCAAGATATTTTACAGTCAGAGAAAATTAACCTCGAGGAAAACCAGGTCATTGAAAAATTGAATCCTTCTCTTTGTAACTCAACATAAACCAGGGACTAATGATTCACCAGCTCAAAAAATCGTCACAAACTTTCGAAAAAGGGCAAACGTCGTTAATACAAGGTGCAAATACAAATACAAAACAAAAATGATCTTCAACCTCAAACTCTCGAGAAACGAAACTTGACGTAAAATCCCTCAAAAATAGACAAATATTTAGCTTCGCAGTTCAAAACTACAACATAGTGAAATGCAAACCTTTTCGAAGTCACAATTTCCCCCTTTCTTCACGTCAAACAAGTAGCAGAAAATCACCGCAAGTGACACAGAATCATTGACTGTTTCTTTGCCCAGGGCGTCGTGGATCTCGTCCCAGGTCCACACGCAAAAAGCTCCTTCACGTTTCACCTTCGAGTCTCGCGTAGGATACGAGTCCGCATCTTCAGCCGAGAAAAATCCGCCCAGCTAAAAACAGACAACAAAAAACACCATATGTTAAAATATAGAAAACGCAGGAAAGACACTTTCAAGAATGATCCCACGGTTCAACATTTGATTTTCCAACAGTCTTAACGACACGATCCGCGAAGAAAGAGTTCCTTCTACTTCACAAGTGTTCATTTTCAACAAAAAAATAGTATTGTAACGGATGCAAATGCTGTACTGTACTGTATAAATGAATACGCAAAAAATGCCTCCGATTTCCAAATTGTTCGTAACCAACATTTGCATAATTAATTTCAATGCTAAAATCACTGGCCTTCCAATCTAACCTTCATGAAGAGTTCAAAAGTCAAAAAACTTCATTTGAGATACAGTAGTTTCATGAGATGGGCTAAGATGGATGGATAGAATCTGAGAAACGAAAATCTCTCGTCCAATTCCGCTGTAATACCTTTTAAGATGTTCTTAGCACTTTTCAACGGGCGCTGAAATTTTCAGCAAGGATATCGGAATAGATATAAATATTGGCACACCAAAAGAAGCAACAACTATCAATGATCTCTTATTATTAGACGGTTCTTTACATGATCAAGTCGGACGCTCCAGACTCGGATTATTTGTTACCTCACCTAGATGTCGCTCAAATTGAAAAATTACTGTGCATAAAAAATAATATCCTGGTTCAGTTGATTAATGCAGGTCTGAGGTATTTAATCCAGGTTCGGGAGAAGAGCTAATGGGTTAGTTCAGACTGAATTGGCTAGTCGTGGTTTTATCGACGATTCCGGCGACATCTGTCCCAACACTTCGGAAAATTCGCGACTGGTGGCGAAAAAATAACATCAAAGACGCTCTTGCAACGTCCGAAAGAATCTTGCAAATATCCGTTAGATTTCACTATTCAAAAAGAAATTTTCTCCCAATAAAGACCACTTTCAAAACACACATAAAGGCCGAAAGCAGGGGTCTATAATTTCGAATGACCCGTTTTTGAATCAGCTTTACGGAAATTATTATTAATAATAATAATAATAATCTCACCGGATGATTCAAGTCTCTCCCGACATACGTCAAGATGTCCCGCACAATTTCGGCCAGGAATTCGTCCTTGGTCAACAAATAAGCATTGCAATACGACACTGCCAATTGCCCCTGGTCGTACAGCATCTTCTCGAAATGCGGAACATGCCATTCGTCGTCCGTAGAGTACCTCGCAAAGCCCTATAATCAAAAACAAAACAAAAACACACACGTAACCAATCGTCAATGATTTCTTCGATAGGCAGTAATGTTATTGATTAACACCATCAAATCAGAGAGAAGATTAGACCAATTATCACGGCTCAAACGTCAAGCGACAAACCCTCACGGGTTCGGCGACGCTCAAAAAGAAACTTCGTTCATCATACAATTCGACAACGCATGAGTTCTACAACGAGCGCTGTACAGCTGAAAAAATTAAATTAAATCCGAATCTCGGGGTATAACTAGCCTGGATTTATACATATTCATGCTCATTCTATTTTTAAGAATTCATCTTCATGCCAAAGATAAATTTCTGGGACGCAACAGAATAACTGTTGAGAATACCCCACAATACCTAAAAAAAAATTCCAACTGAACAATCATCCCTAGAAACAGTTCTTGAAACCACTTTCGTCAAGGAGAATCAACCCTCATCATTTCTCTGAAAATTTTTCAGCTGTAGAGTCGCCCCCTCATATAAAAATTAAAAAAAAAGTGATAGTCGGGTCATATCTCCCTCACTTGAGCGATGTGATCATGAATACCGCCACGGGCCATCATCGTAAGCGTATGTGACACCATGTTGACGGCGGCTTCATACTCGTGCGACTTTCCCTTCACATAGCACGAGGCGTAGGCCAACAAGAAGTCAATCAGCGACGGCTGCGGGAATTTCGGCGCAAACCCGAACCCGCCAAACTTCTCCTCGTAGCGACTCTCCAACAAGGTGAACATCAGTCGGATCAACGTGGTTTCCAGGCCGACTTCGTCCTGGTCCTCGAGCCCAATGACTCCTGGCCCCATCCCGACGAAGTCTTCTTGTTTCTTCAAAGCTTTGTACATATTCTCGCCAGTTGCTCGCAGCTCTGCTTCACGCACGTTCCACTAGAAGTAGAATTTTTTTGAATATACACAGTACAGTAAAATCTCGTTACAACAAAGCATTTGGGACCAGTAAAATAGCTTCGTTGTAACGAAAAAATTCGTCATTAAGGAACTCTTCCAAAATGTTGGCCATTGGGCAAGATTGTGGCTAAATAACGACTTCGTTGTAACGATATTCTACCGTATTCTCAGCCTCAAAACAAGTGACTAAACAACTCCCAGGTCAACTTCATGTCTCAATGAACAATCAAACACTCGTTTTTCATAGAGTTAGTTGAATTTTCCTGAGATTAAGAGAACTTGCAAAATTTCGTGACTCAAATTACACTTCGTCCCAAATATCCTAATTGTCTTATCAACTTGAAAATGTCTACATGCCTGCTTTGTGAATGAAAACGCTCAAAAAAATTAACAGAAAACAGCAATGTAGGCAAAAAAGAATTCGATTAATTCGAGCAGCTCTCGGGGAAAATTTTTATGAAATACAGTAGTAAACTATTTTTCAACTGAGGTTCAACTGATACGAAATTAGCATGGCAATCTTAATTTAATTTTACAAAAAATTAGTCATGTAATTTACAGAAAAATTAGTCATAAGGATAGTCATGTTTCGATTGAAAAATATGATTTATGTTCTGTGCAAGAAATAATACATGGGAATAAAATCAGCAATTTTTTGCATCAGCCAGGCTTTTGCAGATCTGCAGCTCGATGGAACTTTAAATTTCCATCTCCCAACGGCAGAAAAAAATGCTCGAACAAGAATCGTTGATGTTTTCGAAATATATACACAATACTGTACTTTGAAAAAAAAATATGATGAAGGGGGAATTACTTTAGCACCAAGTATTTCCAGCAATTGTCGGAAGCCGGGACGACCAAAGCCACCCTCAGGAGGGAAGTATGTCCCACCAAACACCGGTTTCAAGTCAGGGGTCAACCACACGCTCATGGGCCAGCCGCCATGGCCAGTGCTTGCCTATAAATGAAGAAAAAAAAACAAATATCAGAAACACGACCTATTCGTCTATTCTTATTCGCCACAAAGGTGAAGGACATGTTTTCACTTCAAGTTGCTTTCCGCCATGAGGACCAGGTGTGGTCTGACAGTCCGAGTAAATCACCTCACGAAGAAGTAAACACTGACACGAACTATTCTGACCAAACACAAGATAAATTAGAACAGGACTAGAATAATACAATATCGGATTCAGGAGACATCTATGCATCGGCAAAGAAAATCAAGAACTTCAGGACGTGGGATGTTCAAGGACGAGGAAAACTAATCAAAAAAATTAAAAATTCGCCACTTTTCACCAGACAAGAAGTAGAGCAAAATACTGTATTCGACCTTATTTTCTGTACTGTGGAGCTCTTATTGTGCAAGTACATCACCTGACAAAAAATAGACACATACGGTACCAATAATTCCGACCAAACCCCCAGGTACATCAAGTCAATGGTAACGAATAAGACACAACCGCATTCAGGCGACATCTACACATCCGCAAAGAAAATTAAGAAGCTTGGGACGTCGGGCCTTCAATTATTTGAACTATACACAGAGAACATACAATTGTCCACCAAAGCCTAGAACTTGGTTTCCCCGAGAACCTTTTTAAGCGCCGAGCAGAGAGTTTTTTCGGGAATTAAAGCTGAATTCGATAGTTCCTCGAATATTGTAAAAAATTCGCACAGGACGCGTTTGCGATTGAAAAACAGTCTTACGCCTTTTTTTCAAGTATCATTTTCAATATTACGCTGGTTCGGAGAATTTCGACTCGAAACCTTGAATGCCCAAATAATTCAATTTCAAGGCACTGATGAAACTTTGTGAAACATCCCTCGCAGATGCCACCAGACGCCTCGAAAAAAATATATATTTCGACTTCATTTGGCACCTGACGAACCTAATGGCTCACGTCCAAACACAAATTCTAAGCGAAAGCCAAAAAGAATCATCACGAGCAAAGTGAGACATGAGTACTGGAGTATCCCCGCGTGTTGGTTCACGCATGTCATCCACTGGAAACGACTCGCCTAAATAACTTGAATTTAAATTAAAAGAAGGAAACTCCCATCGAAAAATTCCTCGGTTTAGAATTTGGCGGAAGATTTTTGTCCCTGAAGGACTTCAGGTCTTGAATAAAAACGCAACGCTTTACAAAGATGTCACTTTGAAGTCATGAAAGTGAAAAAATTCGCCAAGTCATGAAAGTGAAAGTGTCATGAAGTCATGAAAGTCTTTGTCATGAAAGTGTTTTTTCAAAAATCAGATCAGATTGAATTGATGTTACTTTAAGTTAAGCTGAATTTTTTTTTCTTTTTCACGTTAGCGATTGATGGTCCAAACTAAATCAATTTACTGTACAGTGGGTCCTCACAAAACGTGAGACACGTAAATTTTGCATTGCAAAAATTTTTGTACGTGAAAAAGGAACTCACATTAAAAAAAATTTCTCACAACGAAATTTGTCCGGAAAAAACGCTAAAAAGCATTCAATAACATTTTGAATTTAAGCATCATTTATTTTTCAACACTGGAAGGAAATGATGAGAGGAACAACTTATTTCTACTTCTTCTCGTCTTCAAAATGTATGAAATTTAAAAAATTGAAGAGCTCAAACTCATCAGAATCGCTTCAATTTCATAACAATCAAATTTTAAATTCACGATTTACGCAATAAAAGACTACACGAATTCTATGTTTTATCATGCAAAAGTCTGCTGATACGTATCTAGAGGAGAAGTGAATCATTTACGATGTAATCTTGAGGGACAACGCGTTTCGCATTGCGAATAAATTCCGCACAATGAAACGAGTCTACGAATAATGCGGGGGACTCGCTGTATCTACATTCAAGTTAGGGTGAAAAAGAAGCTTTCGCCATTTACAGTATCTGCTGAAGAAATTGGAGCGACACCTGCTGAAATTTAACAAAAGCTACGGCGGTGAATCGTCAAGAACTCAATACTGTACAGTAGCTCCGATTAGTGGTTGAATGGTCCAAATTTAGTCGCGTTACATCAATTTACTCTCGTTCAGATCAGACTCAAAAAATGTTTTCTTTTTCTTAGTGATCACGAGGGTTGATTGAAAGGCGACACCTGCCCGACATTCCAGAAAGCACAAGAGGTTTGACAGTACAGTAGTTGCGGCGGTCGCAGCTTCAAAAACACCACCAGCACAAGCACAGTGGCAAATTGAAAGCAAAAAATGCATATACAGTTAGACCCCCACATGCGGACGCCTTGACCTACAGACAATTCAACATAGGGACACTTATTTTCCCCAAAAAAATCAATAAATAATGCCCAACACGAGGACACTGACTTGACATAGGGACATTTTGAGATAAAATTGCAAATACATTTCAGGCCAAATTACAAGAAACAGATTTTTCCAACCCTAAAATTGATGTAAGAAAAGTTCTTGGGCATTTCTCTCACCAAATTACCATCCATTTAATTTAAAAAAATTACATCCAGCATAGAGGGACTTAAATCATGTGCTGATGGTTCTATTAAGCAGAATTTTTGTCCCATTAAAGGGCCTAAAATATATCATTTTGATGCTTTATATTTTGCTTGTTGCGCTTTGATCCTAATATGCTGTAATTAGCCAGTGGTCCTACACAGCAGAATCCACTTTATTTGAGTTGCTCTTGTCTGACCCATGATATCTGTAGTATATTCAAGTTCTAAAATGCTAAAAAGAATAATTACCAAACAATATTTTTATTATGTCTAATATTCTGAAAGCCACTAAACAATCCTTCTGGGACTTGGTCTTTATAGACACCGTATCATATAAAGCAGTTTCCCAAACTTTTTAGTCCTGCAGACCTATATAAAAAGTTGCATGAAATGTTTTGCAGACTGGCAGACATTTTGATATTCCAAAAATATACATATAATGAAACGAAACAAAGAACCAAAGCCGGCCAAAAAAAAAAAAAAAAAAGGATTTCATGACTAATGTCCACCAGCATATTAAAGGACTGAAATTGTGCTGGAGTAAAAAAAATTATTTTCCAGAATCTAGCAAAGTGATGAGTGAAATTCTTCAGGCCCGGAAAATTACTGTTGCATTTCGAGTGTATAATTTGTTTGAAAATGCGGAGTTCTAAGAATGTTCTGCCTGTGTCTATCAATAATGCACCTTCTTATATTCAGCAGACAAGAAGATCCCTGAATACTTGGCAAACAAAAGGAATTACATTGCTTCCTTGTTCACTCAAATTATATTTAAAAAAACCATAACATGGGGAGATAACCCTATTGGGCCACATTAAATTCTATATACAGTACAGGGAAAGTAATTGTAGATAAAGTCCACTCCACTTGCATTAATTTGATAACTCCCAAGCGGACTTTTTCCTGCAGAAAGATCAGCATCACCCCGGAACCTGGAACCAGGCTTCGGCGGGTTCATGGCCAGTGTGTCACAGCAAACCAGCAATAACCCGAGCAGAAGACCATCCATTTTGAGGGTATTCGGCGGAAACGCATCCTTGACAAGCTCGATCGAAGACATCAGCGACATCAAGTACAGCGCCAGTCACGTTTCAACAGAGGAGGTCCAGGAAATCGGGGGTTTTTCTTCCATTCCAATGGTGAACCCGGCGTATTTGCCCGATTTATAGACGGGAACCCGACGTTTCATGGCCTCCACGGGCAAGGGCAAGTGGTCCGCAACCCGTCGTCTGGCGTGAAGTTCACAAAATATTTATTTTATTTTTTGTTGCAAGTCCAGGGGAAATTTTTCTTCAGCATAATACATTTATCAAAGGTAGTAAAAACGTGTGTTATCTTTATCTGAAAATTTGGAAGGACGCTTGCGGTTGGAATTATCCAATGAAAGAAATGAAAGTTGGCTCTTCTGTACTGACAAACCTTCAATTCATTTTCCCCTGCTGAAAAATTTTTTTAGGTACTCATTATGAGAAACCTTTCTTGGAGCTCAGGTTTCTTTTTTAAAGAAATTCCACTTGATTGTTCTCAACTTGATATTTTCAATTAAACTTTTGGTAGGGGGACTTCATAGCAGGTACAGGTATTTTAAAAAAAAAATTGCTGCTGGTCCGGAAAACACTTATAGGAAATTTTCTGGTCTGTACAATTTTTTTGGACATTCGCTGGTCTGTGGGCCTAGAAAGGTGGGGGAACACTGCTCTTTCTTTGCGACACAATTCATAAGACGAAGGAAGTAGTGGATTTACGCCGACGTGGAGTGGATTTCACTGGGTAGAAATCTGGTAGATGTACAAAACCTTGCAGCAAATCATCTGTGAACGTACAGCTCAATACAGTATAACCATTCGCATTAAACGCAACTTACGTTGTAGACGGCATTCTTCGGTTGATCATGGTGATTCATTCGAACATGAACATGCCCTCAGGGATTGAACACTTCGCTCCTCAAAATGGATACGTTTTTTTTGTCAGTAATGCACTCTGTACTAGTTTTGGCGGTTGTTTTGGTTTATCCACATTGTTGTGCACCACATCATTGCCAGACAGGAAAACAGAATTGAGGGTTTGACAAATTCTTTCAGCAGTGGAACAGAGCAAACTTATACTCTCTTTTGTCCTTTTGAAGGTGAGAACCCCACTTGCGGACACCTCGACCTGCAGACAATTTGACATGGGGAAACTTATTTTTATCATAAAAAATTAATAAAATAGGCCCAACATGAGGACACTGACTCAACATAGGGACATTTTGTTGAAAAATTGCAAATAAATTCCAGGCTAAATTACAAGAAAGAGATATTTCCAACCTTAAAATTGATGGAAGAAAAGTTATTGGGCACTTCTCTCACCAATTTACCATCCATTTAGCTAATTACAAAAAACTGTCTCCAGCAGAGAGGGACTTCCTTCTCTCTTTTTCACTTGAACATTATTTTTACAGAGAATGTCAACATTTCTATATACTGTACACAGGTATCAGTATTCAATTCTCCAAATGCCCATATTGTGTTGAAATATATT